GTTATCCCATTATTAATATTATTATTTTCTTCATTATTCCAACGCAATAACACTAAGCTTAGTCGTTTCTTTATGCAGTCCTTCCTTACTGCATTGCTTTTTGCGTAGGGTAAATCCTTGTTGATAGGTGCACTGTGGAAGGTAGAAGCAACTTTGTACGGTTTCTTCTCTTTTCTGTATTATCAAGATAATGGGCTTTAGAATTTATGCTATTTTCCTTTGGTATATGTGTAATGCATTTCTCTTGTACATCATGGCCACAACGGCTTGGAAGGAGGGAAAGGGGAATGTGCGGGCTGTGGTTTTTCACTCCACTAGTGCTTCATGACCTGGCATTGTTCTGCATTGTTTTGCAAGGCAGTTTCTCCTTATGGCAGCATAGAGTGGGACCATGACGGCAAATACTGAGTGGGATATAGGAATAGGGAATTGCTTCGTCCTCTTTTTTCTATTCCTTCAGTGGCGAGACCGATGGGCATTGGAGCTTTTGCTCGTTTACAGTAGGTCTTGTGTGAGGCAGCGCGCATGATTCTCTGGCACGTTTCTTGTTGTACAAATTTGGCAGGCTTTCTGTGAATGCTTTCCACCGCTCCTCCTCAAATATCAGCATTTTCTTTTTTCTTTTTTTGTGCTACTTCTCAAATATCGGTACTTTTTTGTGCACCGCTTTGCCTTTTTTGCTTGGTAGAGCACAAGGGCCACGAATTACGCCTCCCATCACGCCTTCTCTCTCATTGGGAGCAAATCCACTGGAGTTAGTGCTTGACCTCACCAGTGCATTTTGGAGCTGTTTTTGCCTCTGTGAAGTTGCTCTCGGTGAAGTGCACGACTGTTTCGCTGCCACGGCAGCCGCAAAGGTAACTCCGTCCCCTTTTCGTGCCGCTGCTTTTTTCCATAGATTTGTAAATCCTCCTTTGCGGGTGCGAATTCTTAAGTATCATATGCGGCATGTTCCAGCTTTTGCAGTTTTTTTCAAATGCCTCTGCCTAAGCACCTGTGAACGTGATCTTTTATTGCTCTGATTTGCTGTAATGCATTACTTGTTAAGGTATTCAGTTTTAAATCCATATCGTATTTGTTTGTCATGCTTTTCATAAATTTATCAAATTTTCTGTTGGCGGACAATCATTTTTCGCAGACAAGTAGATTTAAACACTAAAAGCTTTGCATGGATTTGTTGGTGATTCCTATCATCTGTCTTGTAAGTGTTTGATCCAAATTAATAAGTAGAATTTGGTTTCAAGAAAGTTCTTGCATTTCCGCAACACGAGAAAATGCTTTCCTGCAAAATCAGTCCCACGCTAAATGTATTTTGTAGGTCCTGCCACCTTTTACCAAA